TATGTAGACGACTGCTTTGTCCTTTGCTCAACACAGGAGGAAATGGACAAATGCTTTGAGTTGTTAAACACACAGTCAGATTACATCAAGTTCACCCGAGAAAACCGAAAGAAAAATGGCTTCCATTCCTGAACGTGCAAATTCACCTGTCGGAGAATGGCTACATTACAAAATGGTACCGAAAGCCAAGTAGTAAAAACATTTTGGTTCATTACCTCTCCTCTCACCCCTCTCACACGAAAAGGGCGCTTATAAGAAACATGTTTCGAATAGCAACCAACAAGTGCACGGGAAGAGAACAGAGAGAGGAGTCCCGAAACTTGGCACGGCAAATAGCCATTTGTAATGGCTACGAAACTGTAGCTCAGGATAGGTGTAGGGGAAATCCTAGGCCTCCAGACAACAACTCTAGCGATAGAAGGGTCCCGTTTATCCTACTCTTTATCTCAAATGATATAAGTACAGCTATAAAACGCTGCTTAAGAAGGGCGGATTTAGAGAATTCGGTACGCGTAGTTGAAATACCACCGAGTAATCTTAAGCGCCAGCTAGTTCGTAACCGCCTGGGTGATGTGTCCTGTATGGGCATTTTGTATAATTGGATGACCTGCCCTGATGGTACAGACAATGATAACACGGTTATCTGATTACTTTTGCATAATTTTCAAACCAACCGTCATTTAATCTTTTTGTATCTTTTATATCTCAACAATCCAAGAAAGTAAAGGTCACTCGAACAGGAATTTAAAACATTAGTGCGTAAAACTCCTGAAGCGTCTTGAATAAATTCCAAAAATCCAAAAATAAAGGAAGAGTGAGTGCCTTTTGGTCACACCTGACCACGCGCCATACCTCGGGCTGATTTTTGACCTAAAAAATTGAGGTACGATCTCCAAACACTTTCATAACCCTAGCAGATAAAACTCAAGAAATAAATTTGTATTAGTTCCCTGGATCGACTTTCTCTTAACCTCGGCATTGGAATATGAATGTGTCGTTTTCTTGTTTAGCAATCGCGAGGTTTTTAAACAGCATACATTTACTTCCATAAAAACACAATACAATTCAACGCTAGCTGACGTTTCAGTAGTATCGCCTTCTTCAGAGCCTGGAAGGGCATACTGATACACAATCTACTAGGCCAAACGTTTCAATAACACTTACAAAAAGACGAAAGACTCCTTGGTAATTACATGATCAACAACTTCTCGAAAAAAACCCACCGCTTCTTCGTGACTTCCAATGAGGAAGTTTAGAACAGCTGATTATAGTCGCATGTGGTTGACGATTGCCCCATCCCACATCAAAAATCGATGCGAACGTACGGGATCAGGTCGCGTATGACCTCCGGGTATTCATCCCTGCTATTCATTGTAGGGTTTTTGGCATTTATCCAAAAAGCCTCAAGGAGTTTTCGCGCTGGTGTTTTGGACTCCTGTGCAAGGATATTGACTTTTACTTCAAAATCGTCTCCGCTATGCTTTTGTATCCTATGCGTGCCTAGTGGGCTGCTTCGTCTTAGTTTTCGTTTGCCATCTAGGTGTTCTTTTATACGGATATACAAAGGTCTGCCCGTTTCGTCAATATATTCATCTCCGCAATTGTTACAAGAGATCAGGTATATCGTACTTAAACTCATGCAATCACCGTCCCTGCCGTAAGGGCAAATTACGCAATTTGTTGTTTCACACAGACGGTCATACAGGCGGTTGCGAACTAATTGGCGACGTAGAGTGGCCGGCGGTATTTCAACTATCGCTACCGGTTCCTCTAGACTTTCCCTTCTTAAGCATCGTTTTATAGCTACGCTTACTTCATCGCTTATAAAAGGCAACATAAACGGGATTTTCTTTTGGCCAAGTGTTTCGCGTGGTTTCTCACGGGTGAATTTTATGTACTCTGACTGTTTGTTCAATTACTCAAATCTCTTCCATCTCTTCCTGTGTGGAGCGGATGACAAAACAATCATCTATGTACCTACAGTAGAGTAATGAGCTGAGATCGATTACTCGTGCTTCCATTCTTGAAATAAAGGCAACGGCAAGGGTCGGTGCCAGTCGTTGTCCCATTGCCAACACTCTAATATGCGCGTAATATTTCTCGGACCATCTGAAGATCGAGCATTTTAAACAGACTTTTAAGAAGACCATAAGCTGCTGAATCGAGAAGCTATACATGTTATTTGCTCCTTCATGCTGCTCAAGAAGCTCGGGGATGGCTTGCATTGCGTAGTCGTTCGACTCGTTAGTGTAAAGGGTGGTAAAATCGAACCATTCAATAACGCACGAGCTTTTGGGTCTTGTGTTGCGCAGGCGGTCTAGGAACATTTGGGTGTTTGTGAGACGGTCTGGCATGTGCTTGAGAAACTGGTTGACGATTAGATTTATGAACCCGTGAGATGGGCTGGTATGCCTAAAAAATTAAAACAAAATAATAAGTAATTTTCTTCCGCCGCCCGCTTTCGAAAATCCGCCGAAACGTCAGCTTAATCGTGAACAAAGAATAATAACACCTCGCGTTTGCTCAACAAAAATACGAAGAAAATTACTTGATCAATGCCGAGGTTAATAGAAAGTCGGTCGTGGCAGTGAAAACAATATGTATTCTTTCTTTGATGAGTTTACACGACGCTGATAACGATATTTATTTTCGGCTAACGTTTCGACGTATTTGTCTTCCTCAGAGCCGATGGATCCGAGTCGATGGTCCATGCTTGTTAGTCTTCTCGACGTGGCAGCTTCGCCTTCGTGTCGAGTTAGGTCTTCTTCAGCGAGCCATCTCCTCGAATGAGGCATCCTCGCTCAGTGATGCCCTTTTATACACGATACTGATGGTCGACGTAATGATAATGTCCGGTGATAACAACTTGTTTTTCCTCCGGACATACATCATTGCGCACATCGTGCAGAAGTCGGTGTTTTTACTGAGTGAAGATGCCTCATTCGAGAAGATGGCTCACTGAGGAAGACCTAACTCGACACGAAGGCGAAGCTGCAACATCGAGACGAACAACAAGCATGGACCATCGACTCGGATCATCGGCTCTGAGGAAGACGAAGACGTCGAAACGTTAGCCGAAAATAAATATCATTATCAACCTCGTGTAAGCTCATCAAAGAAAGAATACATATTGATTAGTGATACCGAGGTTCAAGGAAAGTCGGCTTCGAAATAAAACATTTCACTTGGCCCGAATGCATCCATATCCATAGGATGCAGAAACACAATGGAGAAGATTTTGAAGTAGGAGTCACCATCCTCATGCAGGAATCGAAAACATTAGCGCGTAAAACTCTTGAAGCGTTTTGAATCAATTCCAACAATTCGAAAACGGACCGCAAAGAGGAGTGTCTCGTTATCACGCGTGACCTGGCGCCAGACCTCAGGCTAATCCAATGACTTGGCACAGCCACAGTTATCGCCCATGTGCTGCTCTGTGCGGCTGATATCCACCAACTAACTTAAATACTTACAACAAATAAACGTTAGGTGTTTAAATGAAGCTGTTTCTTATGCGAATACAAATCGATTTATCAAGTTTTATCTGCTAGGGTTATGAAAGTGCTTGACTGAGTAGATCGCAACTCAATTTGACCTTTCCAGGCTCTAAAAAAGGTGAAACCGCCGAAACGTCAGCTGTTGTATCCTAATAAATTCTATAATAACAACCTCATGTCTGCTTATTGAAGGAAAATATCGGATAATTTTGTTATTGCACATGAATACAATAAGATCTGTGCGCAATAATTTTGTTCTACGCCACTTCACGAAACAGTCCACATTGCAGCAGGAACGAAAGAAATGCTGGAAGTCAGAATGGGGCAGAATAGGCAACGTCGATACAAGGATGCCGTTGACGTGGCTGTCGCCATCAAACGAACGAACAATAGGTGATCTGCGCTGGAGAACTTAGCGCTATTTTTTCTTCACTTTGTAAATTTCTGTTATTTTCACTATCTTTTTCCGCTTCTATTTTTAAAAATTGATTAGGGCTTCTACATCAACTGGTGGTTGTTTGACAGGATTATAGTTTTGCTCTCCAAAATTGTCTCGTTTATTTGTTCAGGCAGTGTTGTTTTAATAGTTAGTTCAGGAGAGAACGAAAAGCTGCAACTGCAGTGGTGAGAAATGCGAAATGTGTCATCAACGTTATCAGGGTAAGAATAGCATTTTTGTTTCAAAGTTTCTTTCAGGGGTTCTGTATGGAAGGACACGCTTACAAACTTATACGAGCCATATTTACATTTGTGGGGTTCTTAGGGGTCAGGCAGTTCCTCTATTGGTTTCGCCTCCTTGCAATCGTCATCCACGTTCACGATCGTGTCTGTGTTTGGTTTGGGTTACAACTTTGGTATCTTCTCTCATTAGCAGATAAAAATCTTTAAAGAATTACTTTCTTTTGGAAATCTAGGGTAGCCGCGTGGCTGGGCTTTCTCACGTCTCACCATATATGGTTACTAACCTTTATGCGTTTGTATCCAGATAGAGGAAAAAGTTTGTTTTTTTTTCTACTGGTTTTGTTTCGAAGCTATAGCATTAACCGCCCGAGGTTGAGGTTGCGGGCCAGCGGTGGTTTACTTCTATATATCTTAGTTTCAGATGAATTACAAGAACACTTTACCGCTTCAGATTTCAAACGGAGGAGAAGCAGTTGGAAAATACTGGGTACATAGTATGGCATATTACGGAATTCAATTCCAAAATTTAAGTCATCGAACCTAAACTTTCTAAGGAATCAAAGGTTCGACAAAAAAGCGGGAATGAGTGTCGTCGTCGAAAATTTTCTTCCTGTTTTTTGGCATTCCGTCATTTTTTGGACGACCCCACGTGGGTCAGGAAGAGCGTTGAGTAGTGGTGGAGCCAGCACGTTACTTCCTGATGGACTACATCACTAACCACTTCGCCATCCCTGCCGACATTTCATCGCTTCACTGAGCTGCACCATTCGGCCGAAGGACACTAAAACTTCCAACGAGATGCGTTTATCACCATCATGAATCTGTGGTGTCTCTGATGTCGAACTAATTGTTTCTTTCAGTTTCTCGTTTTCTAAACGAATTATCGCTTACTGACACCAATAGGGATAAATGAAGGAAATCCCGATTTTGTGAAGCCTTTCAGATACACTATGTGTGATTATACTACATCACTTCATAGAAGTTTAAATTTTATAACTAGCTATTAAGCAAGCTATCCATTTGATGAATCCATCCTGCTATGACGTTTAGTATATCCAGGAGATCGCTACCGCGAGCTGGAACCTTTTGTAACGTTCCTTCTAGTCAACTCTAGTACCCCTCCTGCAGTTTTTGCTGGATGCCGTTCAGCTTGAAACTTGTAAAAAATGTATTAAAGTATTAAAAGCTTTCTTGCAAGTATAGTATTGTGAGAAAAACACCAAATATTTGAAAAGATAGGTTGAAACACGGAGAAAGGCGAAACGAACTACCCGCATGGTGTGGGGGTCGACGCGTTATCCCTTGGAAAGGGTAGTAGCGTATTCGCTTCCCATCGCAGACACCTACGGTCTGGAGTTTTGCAAATATTTCAACATCGTGGTTATATCTCATATCGTACCCTGCCATGAAGAAAGAAAAGGCAGCAAATAAAACTGACTATTTCGAGGGGTTGTTTTTGCTTATCTGGTTATCTAAATGTTCAGTGGATGAAGTTCTTCTTTTGTTATGTGGAAGAAAAGGGTACGATTTCTATGAGATTTTCGTTCAGTTGACGAAAATTTCAGCTTTATGGCTTTAAGAAGACTGACTGCAAATTGGAAAAACTGGATGAGAATCTAGTGAAGGAACTCGACAAATGTTACTATGTTAACATTGGACGTAAAACGCAACCAGGTGACTTGGTGTCCCGAAACAGCGACAAGAGGGTCGAAAGTGGTCAGTAAATTTTTAGATTTCATTAACCTTCTGAAGACTAAACGTTACAATAAGTTGAATTGCTTGCTGTCAATGGTTTTGATCAAAATAGAAATTGCTGCCAAATATCTTTCATTCGCATAGTTCTTCAGATTGTACTAATCAGGCCGCTTTGCAAGATTAGCCAGCGATGAAGACTCAACGTTCAACAACGTATTTATTTAGTCATTGGTTTCTGTGTCCATAATGTTTGTACTAAGCATTAGTACTGTCACGGGTGTTTATCAGCTATTGAAAATTACTGAAACTATCCAGATGTAGAAAACATTGTGAAATTGCTACAGATTTCTGTGGAAACTCAAGCTATAGCATTTCCGTATGTTTCCCCCTTTTCAACAGCAGAATTCTTTGAAAAGTTTTATTTCCAATAGCGTTAGGTTCTTTCTATAATAAATTATATTGGTGTGTTAATATAATAAAATTTTCACAATATGTTTTATAATAGAGGAGGAACGTGACGAGATTGAGGCGTGGTCGTTTATGGACTCCTTGTTGTTCGCGTTCACTGTTATAACCACGATCGGTAGGTACTATCTATCTTCAAATAACTACATTTTAACTTGTTATGTAGATATTTATTTTAGACACTTTCGAGTATCGTTTGGTGTCAGTGCATTTTCCATTTGTTTCATTATGAAACAGCTGTTTTCCATCAAGGTGGTCATAAGTAAGGATGTGAATTTGTCCGCAACCTGAAGGCCTGTGGACTTTTCCCACTGACGCACTTAATGCTAACGGCGCATAAATTTTCCCTCGTAACCCGAGTTTGCTGAGCTATAGGTTTCTCGAACCGTTAGCTCATGTCTTTGTCGCTTATAGTAAGATTTGCTATCTTGCGACTCGGATTCGTTCCCGACGACAACGATTCTGGTGGTGGTAATGAATCCTACGAACCGCTTGTGATCGATATATTTCTTTAAATTATACTTTATGTTTATAAAGCCAATTACAAATATCCTTCCACAGCTAAAGTGCATACAAAGATGCCAGCGACAGATGAATGGTGTTAAAAATCGCTCTTAATGAGGAAAAAGAAAACGAAATAAAGAATTTAATATCTAAATTGCGATTTGAATACCTGCCAGTGGTAAAGATTTCCAGCAACTGCTTGATCACATCATGTATTATTCCATTTCTCAAACTTCTGAAACCAGCTATTATGGAACACCGCTATTCTCAAGTGTCTTCGAAGGCTTCGATTTTTTTTCAGGTTACGGTAACGTGGTTCCACGTACGTTTGAGGGCCGATTCTTCGTGATCTGTTACGGTCTTGTTGGCATTCCATTCACGTTGTTGGCCATCGCCGACCTCGGCAAGTTCCTCTCTGAGCTCATGACCAAGTGCACAAAAATGGTGGGAAGAATGAAAAAGTTCGTTAATAAGTTCTTTTCAGGAATTTTTTTGGAATAATACACGCGCGTGATGTTTTTAAAGTCGATCATTTGTAATAGAAGTATTAAAATAGGAGATGATTGGAAAATAAAATATATCGAGTTCTAATCACAATTTTAACTTATTATTTACTGCCTACTATTTTTAATGACAGGGTATTACTGCGAAATATAGCTTCAGTGATGCTGAGATATTTGCAAAACTCCAGACCGCAGTTGTGAACGCGTTACTCCCCGGAAAGGACAAGGATAGCGCGTTCGTTCCCCACCACAGACACTTGCGGTCCGGAGTTTTGCAAATATCTCAACATCATTGAAGTCATGTCGAGTTCGTTTCGCTTAAAGGGACGTTCATTGTTTGCAAAGTCGTTGCCACTGAATAGGAAGTACGTTAATTCTTCCATTGAAGCTGTGAACTATCAGATTCGTTGTACATCGAGTCGTAGATGCTTAGTCATTTGCTAGTCATAAGACCTACTTTTGTTTATCCTTTTCGCTCAGTAATTTTTTAAGTTCAACGAGAACGGGAATCTCTCAGTGTAAAGAAAATTGCCGCTTGTTTTATGAAACTGTTACATAACGGTAAAATAGTTCAGCCGAATTCAAGAAAATTGGCGAACGAGAACAAAATTGAAAAAATCGCGTTACGAGGCTTCCGGAAATGCCGTTAGCAAGTGTAGAACGATGTTGGAGAAAAGTCAAAGCCAAGAAGACATCGTTGCACTTGAAGATGGAAAGGTAGGAACATTCATTATTTTTTCCGGGAGATTAGATAGTAGAGCTAAAAATAAGTCGCTGGTCGTTGTTGGACCAGCTGCATCACCCCTCTCCTATAACTAATCGTCGAGTGACTTGGGCAAGCGTTAGTAATTCATCCATTTCTCCCTGTCTCGGGCAAGGGTGGCCCAGCGGTCCTTCTCGCTTTAGGGATTTGGTGAGCATTACGAATTCTTTCTAAAATTTTCGAGAAGAAAGCTGACAATCGGGTCAGAGGTTTGTCGGTCTCATCTCGCGGAATTCAATCGTTTTTGATGATCGGTCGACGTTCCAAGTAGAACGACATCTTTGATTTTTGATCGTTGGCATAGATCGGAGTTTTGAATTCCTTCCTTCACTTGAAGGATGTGGGATACCCCTAACACCGTCGTTTTCACTACCCGTTCCATAACGTTGAATGTTCTTTAAACCTGCTTGCGTACCTGCCAAGTTCTGGTGCACACGTTAAGACAAGAAGAATCGGGTAATTGAAACAGTGGGCACGTAGTCGAGTGCTCGTAGTTCTCTTCACTACATCCTTGATGCTCTTTTTTCGGCCACCAACAATGAAATAGACGAAGTCCGCAAACTCGGTCCGCTAAATGTCTTTGTAATAATTCGTAATTCACTTTTTTAAGTTCCCAACTTAAGGTCATCCTAAGAGTCTTTTTTTAACGGTTTTACGTATTCTCAGTAGGAAAATATACATTCTAGCCTTAATCTTCTTGCTTTGTCTAATCATTCCTTGCTGTGGCTGAATTATTTACAACATGAATTCGCTGCGCATATTTCTCTTTGATCCACAAATACCAGTGAATGCAAGTGGTGACGACTTGGCAAAGCTCTATCACGGGTATATCGAGAGCCAAGCGAAGAAAATTTGGTCAACCAGGAAACTACTAGCTAAATAGAAATTATTCTTGCTCTCGCTCTTTTATGAAAATAACCAATGAAGCAATTACGAAAGAGATGTGTGTGACATTTCGTAGGATCATCGTGAAAAGTTTCATAACGCTAAGATATTTGCAAAACTACGAACAGTAGGTGTCTGCGGTGGGGTACGAAGGAGTGATGGCTGATCGCAAAAGATCGATAGAACTAGCTGAGAGAGAGGCGAAACGAAGGATCCGCATCGTGTGGTGGTGAACGCATTAGTGCTAGGAAAGGACAATAGCGCGTTCGTTCCCCACCGCAGACACCTACGGTTCGTAGTTTTGCAAATATTTTAGCGTTATGAAACTTTTCACGATGATCCTACGAAATGTCACACACATCTCTTTCGTAATTGCTTCATTGGTTATTTTC